CAGTCATCAACATACTGCAAAAGAGCTGTTTCTGGAGACAAAGTGAGGCTCTCCAAACTTTCCCTGAGTGCCTCGTTGTAGATCGTAGGTGATTCTGTGTAGCCCTGACACAAGCGTGTGAAAGTGTAAGGCTTGCCATTGAAATTAAACGCAAACCAAAACTGACTGTCAATGTCCACCGGGACACTGAAAAAAGCATTTGAGAGGTCAACCACGGAAAACCATCGAGCATCAGGTGGAACCTGTGCCATAATGGTGTAAGGGTTGGGAACATTTGGGGCTCGTGCGTGGACGGCTGCATTAACTGCTTTTAGGTCCTGCACGAAGCGCCACTCAGTTGGTTTGCCTGCATCTCTGATCTTTTTAACTGGAAAAATAGGTGTTCTTACCGGCGAGTCAGGACATGGAACAATGACTCCGGCCTTTAAGAGGGAGTTGAACACCGGTGTTATACCGTCAATGGCCTCTTGGCGCAGTGGGTATTGATGTTTGTGGGGACGGAAGTCTGATCGAGGAGTGATGACCACAGGTTGACATTTTTTGATGAGTCCCACGTCATATTTATGCGCTGCCCACAAGGTGTCTGGAACAGAACTGAGGGCAGGAGAAATAGAGGAGACATTAGTCAAAAATGTATCAGTGTGTGTGTCAGAAAATATGTTATTTTCATCCATGACATAAACAGATCTGAGAGCAGGTGTGCAAAATGCGAATGGCTGTTTAAAGAAGCCTGTCGACGGAGAGCGCATCACAAGTGGATCTGGTGTAGCCTCCCAATCTGCCAATGCCTCGCACGCTGCGACAAAGGTCCCAAATCTCTCCATTGGTCTGTTGCTGCTTTAGACAAGGAGATGTGTGGGAAAGAAGAGTCCACATTAAAGAGGTGCTGCTGAGAGGGGGTGAGAGAAACGGAAACAGCACATTTAAGTGTGGACCAAAACAATGTCATACATGCAATTTGATCATTCAGATCCTGTAGAAATAATGCATCATATTGCTTATCTGGCCCATGTGACACATGAGCTGTGCAGTGGAGATATGAAGCATCCATGCACTCTGCCTCAGGCTGGACGCGTGATGCTGCCAGGTGGGACAGTTCTGATTGTGAGTCAACCGGAAGCCACCACTGGTACACAAACATTGGATCACTTATAACTGTCTTTGCCATCTGGTCAATGGCTCTGCATCTCACCACTTGCAACCCTGTAGGAGTGGAGATGAGGCTAATGCCGAAAGAACACATGAGGTCTCTGCCCATTAGATTAATGGGACAGCAAGAGGACAGCAAAAAGGAATGTTTTACTGTGATGTCTGGTTCAGGGTCAGTTGAGTCAGTGTGGGTACTGGTCATAGGTTCCGTAAATCTCTCTACAATAGTCATCCCTGAAGCTCCTTGTGAGAAAACCTGTTTTCCACTAAGTTTCTGACCTGGAAAATACTTCTGTTGTATTACAGAATGTGTAGCCCCCGAATCAACCAAAAACGATAAAAGTTTCCCTTGAATTTTCACCATAGTGGTGGGCATATTTTCAAATGATTTTCCTGAAAACTTTGCATATGTGTGTTTAAGCGAAAGCTTTTGTTGTGTTCTCAATTGCTCTGTGATGTCCACGAGAGCTTGTTGTTGCTCCGGTGTGTGCGTGTGCGTGCAGGGAGTTAGTGCAGAAAGCGTTTCTTCATTGCAGGCTGCGGTGTGTGTGTGTTTTACTTCCCTTATCATGTGAGGCCTCAGCATGGTTGCCGTCTCCCCCTCACATGCAGCCTCCTCCCCCTCCGCCTCACGTCAATCGGAATGTGCGTTGCCACCCCTTCCTCGTCTGGCCAGTCCACGCCCCCATCCTCTACGAGGTGCATTTTGTGGACATTCTCTGTGCCAATGTCCTTGTTCGCCACAGCGGAAACACGTATCATAGTCATTGGGTGGAGACAGCTGTGATCCCTCCTGGTTCCAGGAGGAGCGTCCCCTCGTCATATCCCGACCACGCCCCCTGAATCCGCTGCGTTGGTTTGGATCCCGTGGGCGGTCGTTTCTGGCAAGTTGAGTGACAGCTTGGAGCATAGTCAGTTGGGCGAGTTCAATCTGACGTGACCGCCTTTTCCCCTCGTGGTCAGTTCTCTCCATGTCCATGGATTGCGCATGCGCAGCATGTTTCTTTACATCCGCGAGTCGCGAGTCTTCCATTCCAGCCACAGAGCGCTGCACATTCATTTTTATGTCGGGTAATAGTCCATTCATGAAAGCATTCTTCAGGTGTGATTCCCACGTCCCCAGAGCGTCTCCTAACACGGCGGGTTGTGGAATGCCACTGTTAAGATTAAACACTGTGAGAAGTCTTTGGTAGTAATCATGGACGGACTCACCCGCTGCCTGCTTGGTATTGTTGATGGGAGTCATATCCACTTTGTCAGGGAACAATGTCTTTATGCCGTCGCTCAAAGCCGTGAGTGCGTCTCTGTACGGCTTATTTTGATTTGAACTCCATTCAACGTCTGCCGCACTGGTGTCTCCTGCAACCAGCTGGTTGAGCTTTTGGTAGTGAGTCGGACCCACGTGACTCATTAGAACACGTCGAATTTCAGCAAAGTTGGGCAGGAATTGCTTACAGAAGTCCATGAATGCTTCAGCAAACAGTCTTCCCGAGTGCTGTATCGGCGGGAGATGAGCCATTGCAGCTCTAATGTCCGTATCAGTCCAAGGCCGGAAAACAAGTATGGGACCTGAGTGTCCTGGTACTTGAATCATTGGGGTTTGGAGCACAGATTTTGCATCCGGGGGAACTCCCTCTGGGTCGAAAGAAGGGGAAAAAACATCTGATGTAGATTGTTGCTCTGCAATCAGTTTGTTGATGGCAGAAGTGTCCCCTCCGGTTGCTCCTGGAGAGCGAGAGCGAGTGGGGAGAGCAGCCTGTCTCTTTTCCTCCTCTTCGCCGAGGAGTCGTTCCTGTGCTGCTTTCACTGCCGCTTCCTTTTCCTCCCTCTGCCGGGTGTAGTGAACTTTTTGAGCTTGTGACCATGCAGACGAAGGTTGCTGGTTCGCAGATGAAGCAGGGTACGGTGGTGGGCATGTGTTGAGGAGAGGGCCCCCAGCCCCTGTGAGACTCGGATACAAGGGAGAAGAAGCACATCGGTCATTTTGTTCAATAACATTTGGATCTGGTTTTTCAACCAATGTGGTTTTTGCACATGTCAATTCTTGTTTCCTTTCTCTACATTCACATTCATCCTCCCACCATTTTAACCATTTACTTTGTTTCTCAATGTTCTCCAAGTCTTTGCCTTTTATCACCCTCTGAGTTTTTATACCCTTCTCTTTTCCCTCTAAGCCTGTTCGTAACATGTTCAGTTTTATTCTACTGAAAGAACCATTTGCAGGGAACCCAAAATCTTTTGACCACTCGGGCAAAAACTCTAGAGATTGATCTCCATATTTCCTTCTCATCAGATCCACAATGGGTCCCTCCGGAGAACCCATTTCCTTTTTACCTTTACCGTGTACACCACCCATCTTTCAGGCGTGGTGAAGTATACTTTTTATTACTTAAAATATAGTCGTCACTATAAGTCTTGATTTTCTTTTACGTAGGAAAAATACAAGTTAAAACCCAACCAGAACTATTAGTTAATAAATATAGGTCAAGGGCGCAAATATCTGTTTTCAGATTACTGTCCGAAAACCCCGATATTGTTCCTGTCTTCCTGTTAGGTCAAGGGCTGAGATTTTGCGATTTCAGTGAACTCTCAAAATCCCTCCTATCTTTCCCTTCGGTCAAGGGTCACAATTGTCAATTGCCCCTGTCTTCCCCTTTGGTCAAGGGTCACATTTATGCGTTTTCAGAGTGTTAGTCTGAATACAATCGTAATACGCAAATTGCCCCTGTCTTCCCCTTTTAGGTCAAGGGTCACAATAATGCGACGCAAATTGCCCCTGTCTTCCCCCTTGGTCAAGGGTCACAATTATGCGATTTTCAGATAGTTAATCTGAATACAATCGTAAATGCGCACATTGCTCCCTGTCTTCCTCAGTAAAAAGTTGGATGCTGATGAACCGGAAATACTGTACAATTACTCTTATAATTTTATACACATTTTTCAAATAACCGGATAAAAAGACAAGTTATCATCATTAGAAGCCCAAGCAAATAACCGAAATTTGGATTTTCTAAGAAGAGAGAGAAAAAATAATTTTTAAAAAAAATCCCAAAGTACTAAATACCCGTCTTTGTTATCTGTTATCACCCGTTATAATTCAGGAAGCCCCGTTTGAAAATCAGAATATCAACTTCTTACCCGATTCGTGTGAAAATCTTCCTCATCGGATCGTGTTGAAGCCAATCAGGTCTCTTTTGGTCGCCGGTCCCCTCTCTCTGAGTGTGATGAGGTATAGGGCAGAATCACGTTTGGTGGATCCTGAAGGGGCCCCTTCCCGGACGTCCTCGGAGTCCCGACGGAGCTTCAAACGATCCCACTTCTGACACCAAATTGTGGTGGAAGATTTTGCACAGACAATCGTTAAGTAAGAATCAAAGGCTCTGAGTCAAGTATGTCTTTTCTCCGTTTATTTCCTTGCAAGGGAAAAAGGGTCACAACAGCTACGTGGTCAGTAGACTGTCAAGAACCTCCTTTTTTTCCCAACACCTCGAGGCAGTTCTTATACCTAAGTTTAGATATCGGTGGCGTCAACAGAAACCTTTGACCATCTTGTTGAGTATCTACAGCCAGGGTACTGGGAACATCTTATCCATGTAAGACACGTCAGCTCTTTGACCGTATCCTTGCTCTCCCAACATTCAAAACAAAGGTGGTCATAGACATAACAAACACTTTGTTCAATCTCTACAGCTATGACGCTGGAAACATCTAATCCAAGTGGGAGACATCAGTTCTTATGTCAGGGCCTTTGTGACCTAAGCACTTACAACTAATAAACTGGTTATACAAATGAAGCATTTAAAAGGGTCACATATCATTTTCCCATTACAATACACACTGTATACTGTTAATACATTGTGGTAACAACTTTTATTCTATTAATAAGAATATAAACGTTCAACATCATGATTAGAAGATACTACTGATCCATTAATAAGAGACGGCCTCTATAATAGGGCCAAACAGTTGACAGGTTGATGGGTTTTGTCTCTTTAAATCTGAATTTGTTCTTTAAATCTAAAAGTACCCTCTCATGTAACATTCACATTGACACCTGGCAGTGCCTTTTTTGGATGTAACACAGTAGTTTACTCAGAAAGTACACTTTGACCTTCTTCATGCCTTTTTTATAACTTCATTCCAGTCAAATATTGTGGTATTTTCTCCCCGATGTAAAAAGCAAGATTAATGAACAGAAAGAGACATTCAAATCTGTGCTGTAACTCCAAGACACCCACTTTCTTTCAGGTTGTACTGTCACTATTGAAACAGGTATAGCGGAGATGTGTGCTTCGCCTCCTGGAAGATTTTGAGTTGTAAACTATTATTAGTCTGCAATATCTTCAACTAATGGTTATGAATGTGTGACCTCATCTGGCAATTTATTGAAACCTGTCTCCGTAGTGTGAGCTGTACAGTAGAAACAGCAATAGAGGATAAACATTTGGAAGCTTAAAACATTGTGTTACAAAAAAACAAACGAACGTGTTTTTCTCCTACTTCCGCTCATGCCATCTTTCGATACCAAGAAGAAGATGTAATGTGACCTATGAGGCTTTGATGGGGCACTAAAAACTGACCTAATGAATGCATCTTAACACAGAGTGAATTTAACAGTCTATGTTAACGTGGAGCGGACAGATGTGACCAATCTACGTTAAAGCACAGGCAGAGGAACTTGGAAGAGGGGATTTTTGGAGTATCACCACTGGTTTGAAGACGTGGCGTCCCGCACTAACTGGGCTGACCACGACTTCGATGTAGCGGCTTCGCTGTCGCCATGTTAACTAGTTTCTCCCAGATAGCGTAACTATTTTGATGTTGAGGTAAAGGGCTGATAATAACATTGTGGGGCCCTTAATCATCAAGCTGGGATTGTCTCCATGTTTGTTGGTGCTTAAAGGTGATAAGACACTACTAAGGTTCTGCTCAGGGACGGCAAATTTGTCACCAACCCACACACAGGCGAACAGACACCCCGGTTGAACAATGTAAGATGAGACTAACAAATACAATTGCAAACAACTAAATAGACAAGACACATGGAAAACAAATAATATGGTTCTACTGTTAAAAGCGAGGAAATATGTTAAAAGTCAGTTAAAATGTACTCATCTTCAAAAAGAAAACTAATGTTATAGAGTTTAAATACATATTTATATACACATACAATAGTTTATATATTAATTCAAAACAAAGAAGGTAAAACCCATTTGGGGACAAGGGGCCTTCAATGTTCCTCCACCATCAAAGGGGGGCTTGACAGAATAAGTTTGGGAACCACAGCTATAAAGTGACACCATGCAGGTTAAAAAATGAAGCGGCTCATTTTATTGTTGTGGTGCCGCCTACAGACGGGCCGGTGTGGGGTAAACAGAGGACCAGGAAGCTTTTGGTAATGTTAAGTCTCTTTTGTGTTCTCCATTTCGACCATCCAGGTCCATGTGGGGTCCGGACTGAGCCAGTCTGACTCCTACATAGACCTTTATTGGATTAACCGAAGGCTGGTTAGGTAGTCAATAATGTTCCCATAATCGCAACATCTGGACATCACACACACCGAAGATAATGTAGTTGTGAGTGCACTCTCACAGGCTCCAGTTTGAGTAACTGAAACGTCAGTTTATTCCTTGTTATTTCATCTCATGTGCATTCCTTTAAAAAATTAAAAAGCCATCTATTGACTGGGTGCTTGCTGTGTAAAGGATTGTAGATGTGTTGCATGTATTGCGTTTGCAGGTTTGTTTTCATTGGGGTCTTGTGGTTCTGCTAATAGATACTTAGTCAGTCCTCTGATCACATTAAACATGATTTTCACATATTTAGGATAAAACCGAAGGCAAATAGACCAACAAACAAGGAGCAAATGAAGGAGGCTGCTGTCAAAGACAAGACAAACAAATTAGTGAGGTCTATGGGTGCAAGACTTCAGGAGGCCATTCCCTTACATTCTCATACAACTGTTTGCCAGATTACTTCCAATAAAATGGGTATAACTAAACTAAAAGAGTTGTTGTCCTAGCCATTAAACTAGTCAAACCAAATATTGACTGATTCAGTTCAAATCATTGGGAGTTGCATAAAACAAATTTAGAAAAATTGTGTCAGAATCCAAATACTAAGGCCTCAACTATTTATTTAACTGCAGATCAACTTATCACATTAAATATTAACGCACTATGATGGGTATTATGCCGGCTGATGCTCTGCAGTAATGTCCCCCAAATGTAATATGAAAGGGAACCATTACAATCAAGCAAAGAGAAAAATACGGATTGAAAAGGCCACACCGTTAAGAAAAAAAGTCCAGGTTTTATTGTCTATCATGGCTGCAGTCCATGTCTGTGTGAGAGAGAAAGACACATTGAGAGAGCGAGCGAGAAAGGGGGAGAGAGAGAGAGAGCATAATCTTCAGGAGCCAATCACACAGTGCGGTCACACTTTGTACTCCTTGACTCTTTGGTTTGCGAAAGCAAAGCCAGGCATGAGAGTGAATCACAGCAAAGTGTAAGAATCTTGTAAAAGAAGATGAAACTCAATTGAACACACCAAGGCATCACACGAGTGGAATCTAAAAACATAACACAAGAAGTCGGACACGATGGAGCCGTCTCTGAACCAGAACGTGGATCTACAAACCAGTCAGCAAACAGTGCTAACAGAAGGGATTCGATTGCGGTAGAGTTAACGGCAGAGTAGAATGTGGCTGATTTTAGAAGAGGGTGGAGAGAGGAGCGCGGCTTGAGTAAACAGCGTTGGTCGGCTGTTTGTCTCTCTGGTGTCATGAGTGTAGATATTGGGATGGTGGGGGGGGGGGCTCCCGGCGTCATGCAGATCAGCGAAGTGGCAGACCAGGGCTTCATGATTGGTTGGTTGGATGGCTCGCAGCGAGGGAACAAATCGCAGTTCTACTGGCTGGGCGGTCTGTAAACCCACCTGGATGAGGTTCAGTGATTGACAACTAGAATCCGGTGTTTGCGAGAGTCAAGCAGGCGTAAATGAGATGGCAGAAGGGAGAGGCGAGTGTCCCCTCTTCTCTCCATCCCACACTCCTCCTTCCCCCCTCCCTCCGTGCTTCACTCACGTGGTGTCCTCCACTAGGGGCGCCCCTGCCCACCAGAGCGGGGAGTTATCCAAAGTTGTGAATGGCCAGCCTGAACATGTCATTGGTGCACACCCACGCACTGTTAATGTTCTTCAGGAGGAAACTCTGATGGAAACCCATGACGGGGTCGTCGTCTACCTACGAACGCAGAGAACATGCAGGAGATCAGGGCACCGTCAGCAGCTCCAGATCAGTTGCACACATCAAAGTCAGACTAGTTGTGGAGAAACAGACGTGTGATTCCTTCCTTGCAAAGTGAGGGAGTCTAAGAGCAATAAGGTCACTCAGGCGCTCCTTACCCAGAGGAAGTAAGAGCTGCTAGCGAGTTGATGCTAGCTGGTTTACTCCAAAACAAAAGTTTTGGCACAAGTGTTCCATCAGTCTGTATCGTATTGCGCTTTAGAAATGAGACCCTGCTTTTACCGTTCTACAGTAAATTAAATATATACAGTAACACTTTGGTATGTAATCTGTGTCATCGGATTTTGAAAGAAAAAGGTGATTGAATTTCTAGCACTGAATATTTATGCAATAAAATCATGTATCTGAATTTTTTTCAACGTTAAAATATTCAACTGCAAAAAATTCAACCGCAAATAATTTAACGTTCAAATATTCAACTGCAAAAAATTCAACTGCAAATAATTCAACCGCAAAAAATTCTACCGCAAAAAATTCAATGCAAAAATTCAACCTCAAAAAATTCAACTGCAAAAATTCAACCGCAAAAAATTCAACCGCAACTTCAGGGAACCCAAGGAAGAGCAATCGATTATAGATTCAAGATCGGGAGCGTGCGTCAAGCACCCACTACAACTTCGGCTGTCGGCTAGCATGATGATCGGATTTTAGCCATGTCCATTAACAATGGGGCTGATAGAGTAATAGCAATAGTTCAGTAATAGACAGCTAACATTTGTACATTAACAGACTGTATAGGACATGAACTAAGCGGAAGTTAAACGAGAGCGTACAGCTGGTCCGAATACGCATTTTCTTCTAGTTTTGAATTAAGTTAATGATGCTGTGATGCTTCGACATGCTATTAGGAGTGATTGGCGGAGTTTTGAAACCAGGAACGCGCTTGTAGAGCGCATATGACCCGCTGCGGCGTAGTGGGAGGGGGGGTAGGGGGGCGGCGGCTTTAGCGGAGCACATGCAGACGCATAACTCCGACAGTACGTGCAGGAATAAGCGGGATACTGATGGAGTTCTCTTGGTCTGGTAACCACGTGCGTGAAGCTGGTAACCGGGCTATGAGAACTCTGACTATATCCTGGGTAAGGTGGCCCGTACCACCTACAGCATGGATCAATTATCAGAAGAATGCCCTGGCCGCTAAGCTCATGCTGGATATGATTCTGCTTTAGTCAAACTTAGTACAAAGGATATTGCCTGTCTGATTATCTTAAAATCATGTATATTATACTTGTACTACTGATTTGTAATATCCTTCCTACGGGGTTTTTTCTGTGCTGTATTTGTGATTACAGGGTAACGTTAGTCAGGAAGATATCGTTGAGTCAGCAAGGCGATTATTAAACTTAGTAACCTCTTCTGAGAGACACCGGGAGGCCGATGACACCAATCAAGATATGAGGTTTTGTATTAAACTGCAATTCATGTACATATGGCTTGCTTTTACTTATTCATTCTATACATGTTGATGATTAGGCTTAATGTATATTTTCGGATCCAATCCGGCAGAGAACAGAGGCGGGGGCGTGAAGCCAGAAAGACCCTCAGTTCAAATGGAAATGACCAGGTAAAGAAAAATGTACATCTATCATGCAAGAGCCTTTTTGTCAACCTTTTAATGTAGTAAGAAAAAACTTGTTTTCTACAGGTCCTTCCCAGCTAAGTTTACCAAGGCCAGAGGAAAGAGGCGCTTTCCTGCAGCAAATCTTGTTCCTGCCAAGAGAGCAAAACCGCTTGAAGTGGCTTTCTATTTGCTGCCAAAGCCGTATGAAAGAACTCCAAAAGAGCAGGAGCAAATACTCCATATGCAGGCCGGGTTGGGCCGTAGAACCACTCATGTAGATGAGAGCACAACACATGAAGAGGTAGTAACATGCAATTAGTTATTTAGTCTAGCTTGTATGTTTATATGCATTAATATATATATTACATTAAAGAAGTTATTTTGTTTGCTCAAGTGAAATGGAGAAAACTATGGGTTACTTCTAGTGCTTTAAAGTTATAACCTGTTAATCATAATCTGTAAGAATTGAAATAAACCTTTGTTTCACACGTAAGCACAAACACAGTCAAAACAGAGTTTTCAAAGATCACCCTGAAGGGCGTACACCTAACCTGTTTTCCAACATTTTCCTATAGACAGAAGGCCAAATATCCAACTCCAATGCACTTTATAGCCTTTCAGATCCGATTGGACTGGGAACATTCTGAGTTGGGGACACAGCCCTAATAACAGCACCACAAATTGTATTTATAGAAAAAACAATTGCATGGATTTTGATGTTGCCATTTGATCTAATCAAGCTATCCCCTTTTCAGAGTGTTATGGTTGAATACACTTGTATAATTTTTTCTTACAGTTATGTGATGCCCTCAAAGTTCTATTTCCAAAACCGGGGAATGTTACTGGTGGATGGTTGCTTTATAAAGCATCAGGTAGGCCAACACAAGTTTGTGTGTTTGTTTGTTTGTGTTGCTCATTCGTATAAAAAGTACATGTGCAGCAGCTAACTGCACATTATGCAATGAAGACTGTTGATTTGATTAATTCATATTAATTACAGATGGTTCCCGAATAAAACTTTAACAAAATTCTCTTAACTCATATCAAGTACATTTGTTATTAAGACTGTCTATGTTGAATTCAGGGGAAAACATTTATTAGGAGTCTCACTGCAAGACAAAAACAAAACTACAAAGTGTTAACTTGTAATAACTGTATTTGAAACAGTCAAGTAAAATAGACAGGTGGCTTCTTCAGTTTATACTGTAGTCACACAAAAAGCCTAGTTACTTTGACTTAAATTAAATATATATTATATATCCAATACACTGTTGAAAGTTTCCAATCTAATTTCCATCTGCAATGTTTTCCACAGCTGGATGGGGAAGCCGAAAACTCTGTGTTGTGCCTCCTGAAGATAGTGGCTATTCAGGCAGGGTCTTGAAGGCTATAGGTCGTTGCGCTAAAAATCTGTTCATAGCCCCAATTCAAGAAGAACTTAACACAAATCCCCTGCCACTCAATCATGAAGCATTCAGGAGCATGCCAAAAGCCATTTGTCAGAAGTGTGGAGCAGCAGTTCCCCTTCCACTCCTGACAGAACGCATTTAGTCTTGTGATGTAATTGATGTTGACGATAACCTGACTAATGTGGATAGCGGTGAGCCTGAAGAGAGAAAATGTCAAAATTATTTGTTTAAGATTAGCGTTAGCTAATGTTAGCATATTACATAGCATTCATAAAATGAATAAAGAAATCTTTTCTTTCAAAATATCATTGTTCTTTCTTGTAACTTCCATTTCTCAGCAGCAGATATGCAGGAGTGTCCTGTCTGCGCAGAAATGTTTGCCACTGATTTTATTGAGGTACACTCTTCAGCCTGCGGGGAAAGGTATCCATTTATCTTTTCATGTGTTTTCTCTTAATGGCAATTGTCTTACTCTTTGTGTAACACAAAAATAGTTTTATGTGGCTAGAGCAGGAAATCAAGTGAGGCATGAAAGTACTGTCAGTGAGGAAGAGCAAACAGCAATACCTGGACCATCTGGAACTTGTGCAGCAGATAGAGATGGTAGGTGATAATGCTTAGGGTCATCAGTGGCATAGTACAGTTTAAGAAGGTAACATTGTTACAGTGCGATAAAAATGAGCATGTAGAATGGCCTACTCTGGGTGGTTTGTTTTGTTTTTAATTGTTTACAGAAAAAGCAGTCTTAGCAAAATCTTCATAGCACACCATTATTTACTCACATATTCATTTATGTAATTGTACATTTATGTTGCTACTATTAGACTGTTTATGCCAAAGTAGGGCCTAATGTCTTTTACTTTTTATTTGAATATACTTTCTATTGATTATTTTTTTTGCTATCTTTACAGTCAAGCATAAATAATGAAACAACAACATTTATTTTTATTTTTTCTTATTAGGGTGGTTAACTGTCAGTGACCCTTCCAAGGCCATATCTCAGTGTGTAGACAACTGTCTCCGTATTCATAAAATGGAGAGTGCCTTACTTCTCAGCATGGACATAAGAAGAAGTCTGGCTGAACAGGACATGGCCCTTATCTCCTTTTACAAGCAACTTAATGTGAGCAGACTTGAAGGTTGCTCCAATATTCAATTTTCAGTTGTCAAAAAAATTATTTCAAGTTTTTCCTTGAAATGTATTCTGTCAAACCATAACTTGTGTTACAGGAGATACTGCTGTTGGCCAGGGTGTAACTCGCTTTTTCTTCTCAACATGCATGGAAAAGCTGAAGGCTGGATTTTGCATCAGTTTTGGTATGTATGTTAGATGTATGGTCTCCTCGTTAATGTCGTTTGTTGTTTAATGTTTACTTTAAGTATATTAAAGATTTCCACCATTATAGTCAATATTCTTTTAAATAACAACTATACAACTGTATCATCTTAGTTGGTTTGCTGTATCCTGAAAGTTCGAAGGATTCTACCAAATGTTTAATGCCTGTACCGTAGAGAACTGGAGTCTCCAGTCCATCACAGATTATACAAACCACGTTATTGTTTTTTAATGTTTTTAATGTCTTCAACAGCAAACACCAATGTTACACTGCTTTTTGAAGGAGAGCCTGGACATTTGGTCCCCTCAGCCTCTCATTTTCTGGTTGAAAGTGACATGTGGTGGCTGGGAGAATGGTAGGCCACTCTTTCCTTCATGGAGGACCATGCCTGTCTGGACTCAGCCCTGCTATTGTCCATGTTCTACTTGGTGGTAGTCCTGAAACTGCCACAATTACACTGGAGGATTGTCCAGACCTGGACATAAGAGAAACAATCAGGCTTGTATGTGTAATTAAAGTTGATTCTATTATCTTGATTGTATAAAAGCTCAAATGCCAGTAATATGTATAATGTGTTATATTCAGTACTTTTTATAAGTGCACATAGCACCTGGCATTACTCAACTGCCTCTTGTCTTAAAGCTTGAAAGGGAATCCACACTGTCAGAGAGGGATGCAGGGAGTGTCCAGGAATTGGCCTATGCCTGGGACCTCCCATCCCTTACTGAGAAGAACAGGAGATGGATTTTTGAGAAGCTTCTAATCCATGCTGTGAGTGAAAGTTTAAGAAATGTTTGCTTTCAAAAGTTACAAGTTTGTGTGTTTTTGTCATCTGAGTGGAGGAAACATGGTTGATGATGTCAAATGTATGACAAATTATTTTCCTGGAAACCTTAAAGTTAGTGGATGGTCAGTAATAAATGCAAATGCAGAAGGACAGTATCATATAACTCCAATCACTAGTGGATATAAACATAACAAATTTATTTAAATGTTAGTATTTTCTTGAAAATAATCTTTTTCTAATCTTTTACGCTGAGATTGCTTTAAGACGAGTAATCTTATTGGATATCCCCTTTGCCATGTTACTATTAACAGGTGATTGGCCGTGTCACAAGACAAATAAAACAGTTTCGACGAGGTCTTAAAGAAACCCCAATGTGGACAGTGCTGACCCAACGACCTGACACGGGGGCCTTGCTTCTCCCAAAAGAGGGAGCTGGGAATATCAGCCCTGAGGTAAAAAAAAAAATTTCTGATCTTGTAATGTTTGTATTTTTTCTTACTATGTCATTGTCAATTACTAATAATTACAGTTCATACCTCGTCAGCATCTATTATAGTCCATGGACAATATTGTTCTTGTTATTTATGTGTTCATACATCGTCGACCTTTCCAAAAGTACTGACTAGTAATGTATCATCAAGGTCCTACAAAAGTGATACAATGATGGAACTCATGGAAAAGTCATAAATTAGTCATAATTATTTAAATTTCATGGAAAAGTTTTGAAAATTCACTGGGACAAATGTGTGGTAACCCTTAATAGAAAATGATTCAATGCTCTCCCATGTTATTTTCAATGCAGGTACTTCTTCAGCGAATCACATCCGTGAGAATGAAGATGATGACGACGACTATTCAGTTGACACCAGATGCTGCATGACAGGCTATCTTCGACAGTTCATTGTGAATGGTAGGTTTACAAAATACATTTGAAAGTGCTATTAGAATATAATTTGGCTACTTGGCTGTTTAAATGTTCAACGTTAACTTCACATTGCGGGTTGCTCTTCTCTTCCATTGAGTGTAAGCTGTTAGTGCCAGACTCTGCTATTTATCCTGATGATAGTAAAGTCAAATTAGATTTTTTTGGTCATTTGATTTGTTTCATTGTTTTTTTATCTCCTCCATAGCAACACCAACTGAATTGACCAATCTGGTCAAATTCTGGACCGGGTGGGAGATTCTCCCAACGAGCCCCTCCGTAGAGGTGGTCATGGGCAGATACCCCACAGCCTCCACCTGTTTGAGATGTTGAGCATCCCAGGACATTACAATGATTATCAATCTTTTCAAAGTGATATTCAGGCCTGTATTTGCTCTTGCCAAACAGGATTTGGCCTGGTGTGAGAGACTAGATTTGATCTTGTACTAAATGTTGATCTAACTTTGTTTGTTGGCTGTTCAAAATGTTGACTGTTATGCAACAAATATGGATGTTCACTGTAAACAATCTCTGCACTGAAATAAATAATTAAATAATTAATTATAGGAGTTATGTGGACATGACTGTACTGGTTTCACTGTTACTGCAAAGACTTGAAATCTTCTTCAGCTGTATTACAAAATAAATTTCAATTTTCAGCATTCACATAAAACTCTGGTGTACAAGCAACAAATAACAGCATAAAATATCTAGGATGAAATGAAATGTGACAATTCAAATACCTTTTGAGAGTCTAAAATAGTTTAGAGCTTAATACTATAGCTAAGTCATTCTGAATCTTTTGTATCTTGTTTCCTTTTTAACAGCTCAAAACTCCTCGTTTCCTTACAGCACAAAAATGAAAACTGCTTGTGTTGGATTTGATTATGTGGTGGATTGGGGGAGGGTTCAGCAGGTACAGTATGTGCTACATGTATCTTGTGTCAATTAACACAGGATACAAGATATTACAAGATATTACTTTGATTTCTTTTTCTTTGATTTGTGGAGGTACGGTTGCAGAGGTAATTCTCTTTCTCTTGCTGACTCAGTCTTTAGTGGCTAGTGAAGCCCAGCCATTAAGGGTTTCTTCTCTAAATCAGTGTTCACATCAAAGCTTTGACAACATCCATTTGGTTTATTTGAGTGTGGGTTTATGTCTCTGTGCAACTCTCAATTCAGTTATTTTACAGAGAAAGAAATTGCTCACCGAACTGAACAGTAGCAACGTAAATATCACAGCCAAAGGACTGGGATGCAGCTCTTGGGTTAACTGCATCTCCTAAAGATGTCATTTGTTCATCAGTCAGTGGGCAATCTGCATCTGGGACAATGATGCTTGAGTGGTCATCATGGGGAAGTCCACTGTTTTCCCACTCGATTTCTGGAATGTCCATATCCTACAACAGAACAATTTAGAATTTTATGCAGTATTATCTGGATAAACAGTAGGCACATTTTCAGATTTGGCTTCTAATTTCATTGCTTACACATGTGAACCACATTACTTATTAAAATCACATTATACTTTGCACATACCTCTGTGTTATCTGGCCCAGGAATTGGGTGATGTGCACCCACAACTGGTTAGGGGTCATCTGGCTCTCAGCTCTTATCGAATGATTGTCCCAACCACTGCGAAAAGTATTGAGGTCATCCTGCAGGCATGGGAGGAACACAAAGTGGCAGCAGAAGAGGTGTGTAGCGTTGTCGATGCTGAGGAAGCCCTCTTCTTCAAGGTAGTGGAGAACATCGTACTAGACGCTTGTTACAGCTACCCACAAGTCTCTCCACAGCCGCTCAATCCTGGAAAATTATTCAATTGACAAACATTTTAAAGTAATATAGAAAATTTACTTCAATCCCAGAATAAACAGGAAACATCACTGAGGTTTCTTTTAAGACAAGTGCACAGAAATATATTCATTTTGGAAATATAGTCCAACCGATTCAACCTTTCTTTATTTTGTGTGTATGCATAAAATATCTTCGAAAATTAGATCTTGTTGTATACATACTGTATGTCATTGCACCCAAATGTGAGGTGGAGCTTACATAGCAGTATCTATTCTGGGAAACAAACCGTTGGTTGTGAACACTCTTCCCAGATATAAAGCTGCTCCTTCCAGTGCCACAAACTGTAAACATGAGTCGAGCAACGTCCACGTTTTCCACCCCCTGATCACCACGTACCCTAAGATAGACAAAAAATTTCAAAAAGGTATATAGTACATGTAATATTGATGACCGGATATTGGTTGGTTATTAAAGCAGTGTAACAAGAGTGGTTGAAGCATCTGTATAAAACTGAAAAGAATGACTTTAAAGTTAGTTGTGTGGGTCACTGTGTTGCACTCAGTGGTTGAATATGTATTCAGATCCTTTACTTAAGTAAAAGAACAGCAATGTAAAAGTACTGCATTAAAGTATAAGTCCAGCATGAAAAGCCTACTACAAATAGTCTAAGCTATATATAGTTAAAGTATTGCAGTAAAAGTAGTGGTTTGGTATCTCTTACTGAACTTTTATTCAAGGTTCTCGTACATTCTTACCAATGAATCTTCAAAACTTTTAAATTATGTTTTCATAATACAGTATCTTACTATACTTCCATTACTTCATTTAAATAGTTTAAAACATGTCGGCCTATAAACCACTCATAGGGCACAATAGAAGGTGGTGAGGAGAGGGAAAATCATGGCACAAGTACTTTAAAATTTTGTTCGGTAAAAAACAAATCCTAGTTAAAAACATAAATTTACCTGAGAGGAAACCCAAACTTCTCAACAGATTCTTGGAAGAAAGGCAGGGTAGTTGATGCTAAGTTGTTGGAAGCGACACCAAGATACATTATCTGCAGCACAAATGCCATTACATCACTATGAGACGCTTAACTATTTAATGATTGTAAAAATGTGTACACTTTGTCCTGACAACTGTGCTTACCTTGCGGGAAAAACCGTCAATCCCACCATAGATAACAATGTTGTAGCTGCAAGAAAAATGCTGAATTTGTCAACTGTATAGAACGTACTATAAGTAAGAAATAGTGTTAACGCTCAGAACTGAATAACTTTGCTTAAGAGCTAACATACTCTTAATTCATTTGCATTTTTTCAAAAACATTACTTGAAAAGAATTAGCGTATCAATTGATGGTTTGTATCAATACGAATTAAAGACTGGGGTCCTGGAAATGAGTAGGTCCGTCGAGCAATGCATCCTAAATGGAGCATACGGGAGAAGACACCAGTGGTGTCAACACGGTGCATGGAAGCTCTGACACGGTTATACTGCACCCTTAGATTATACTCAGCCATGCGCCGGTACACAGTGCTTCTGGAAATCCCCATGGGTTTAGCAATACAGAGGACAAACAGATTAAGTTCAAGAAGGTTGCATGGGTAGTCTGGGGATATGGCTATTCGTTGTCTCCCAGCTGGTCCTTCCTCAAACTGCACAAATGCAATATGTTGCTTACTTTTTCTTTTTCTATGTTTATAAGACTGTGCAACTGAGTAAGTGCATCTAAAATTGCTGGACAAACAGCTACATGAGAGGATACAGAATTTAAAAACACAAATTCTTGTGTGCAAGTGAACTCTAAGAAGTCCAGATTTAGAGGCATGCGTCCCAAAATATTTTCCAATTGAGAGCGAAGTCTTTCTAACAGGAAAGAGAAAAAAATGTTATGTCATGTAAACTACCAATAGATAAACAAAACCATTACTGTAAGACCAGTCTATAATCTATAGTAATGATTACTAACTTACATACTTCTACAGCTGAAATCTGCATTCATTTAAGTCAAACTGAAGGCTGTTCTGTTCATTTTTCCATCAGCTGAAAGTAACTTTAAGGTTACCACGATGCATGCTGAGTGACTAGTTAACACATTACTCGTTAAACCGAAACCTCATTAATTTGTGCTTATTTAAAACTGCTTTCTGTAAAGTCAAACTAGTATCATAACTTCTACTCAACTGTCTTTACTTTAAGAACTTTTTAAAAATTCAGTGACAGATCACAATCTCTGCTTCACAACTGTAAGGTCGTATGGGACAATAAACCGTTGTCACACTAAAATGTGTATATGTCTGATATTTTCGTGCTTTTGGTGGGTTTTTTATGATACTATATAATATATGACATCATACTGAGAGCTTGAAAAAACAACAACCGAACGTCATCTCGTTTAACTTCCGCTTAGTTCATGTCCTATACAGTCTGTTAATGTACAAATGTTAGCTGTCTAGTACTGAATCTTACAGACACAAACTACACTGATGGCATATAATAGAGTTACAACTGGCTGTTAATGTACAAATGTTAGCTGTCTATTACTGAGTCTTACACAGTCTTACACAAACCACACTGATGGCATAAAGTTAAAGTTAAAACACTCACCGAAGCCCCATTGTTAACAGACATGGCTAAAATCCGATCATCATGCTAGCCGACAGCCAAAGTTGTATTGGGGCGCTCGCTTCTTTTGCTTGACGCACGCTCCCGATCTTGAATCTAGAATCGATTGCTCTTCCTTGGGTTCCCAGATGTTGCGGTTGAATTTCTTGCAATTGAATTTTTGCGGTTGATATTTTTGAGGTTGAATTTTTGCATTGAATTTTTTGCGGTTGAATTTTTTGCAGTTGAATATTTTAACGTTTAATTATTTGCAGTTGAATATTTTAATGTTGAAAAACATTCAGATACATGATTTCAATGCATAAATATTCAGTGCTAGAAATTCAATCACCTTTTTCTTTCAAAATCCGATGACACAGATTTACTTCCATACATTGGCTTTAACGTCGAACGATTTGGCTGTAATAGGAGATGCTTTAAAACAAGGAGTGAATGATGGTGTTACTTACTTTTAACTGTCCTACTACCATACTCAAGATGTTGCAGTCTGGTGTTGGCTGGTGGTCCTGCACTGTTATACTATGCACTATTTTTGGGAAGGGTAGACTCTGGCACACAGACAGAAAAAGGAGAAGAAACAAAACAGAAGGAATACAGTTAGTATAAAAAATTAACTTATTTACAACTAGTTTCATATACTTAAAATAATCATGAATAATAATCCTCAACAGAAATTCACAGTGGGGCTTTTACAACCGCAAAATAGTCGCAGCATCCAAATTTACACAGATTTTAGATAAGTGCAGATGTGCATGTAAATGGTTGTCCAATTACCTACATTATTAGATACAGTTTCTTGGTTGCACTTGCCAGCGTGTTTCTCAGTTGGGCTCCCTGTTAAACATGTTTGCCCCGTATTCATAATATGTTAGCAAATAAACTCACATTGAGTTTCCCAACGATTGCCTTTTTCCCCTGGAACTGCTGTCCTTCCCATGTGAGGCATGACTCGTCAATCTGTGCAGAGCAAGTGAGAGAGGTGAGGATGGGGGGGAGGGGGTTAATCAGTTGCAACTGATGCTTTTTACAATAATAGTCAAAAAAACATTTTTAAAAAAAGCTATACCAAAAATGACATAAAAACTCAAGTGGTAGTGGCTTGTCAAGACAATTTGATGTGTGAAACTGAAAAAAAAAAATATATATATATATATATATATATATATATATTAAACACTTTCCTTCACCATTCGCTTTGGACAAATTCCAACTGACACTCAGAAAATAATCTGATTTTGTGGTTTAATTAGTGGCGATCTTGGTCAATAAGTGGAGCACTGTGGTGTAAGACAACTTCCTAGTCTGGTTAATCGTTCAAATTTTAAGACAATGTGTCATTAGTCACACTACTTCTCATCATGATTTTCTAAAGACCAGAGAGCCCACAACTAGATTTCTTGTGGGATTCTCCCTGCCTGCACCTGGTGGAAATAGACTACGAGAAAAAAAGACATGGAATGGGAGTTCATGTTCACCAAGTTCATCAGACCTGGTTACCGAACGCCAAAGAGTGACTAGCAACCAATTTAGCCACCGATTCAGACCATCAGCGAAAAGACAAAATACATACAAATATAATAGCTTGTGATTTGACTCCCAGGAATGCTGCTTGGAGTAATTGTATGGACCAGCACTTTTCTAAACAGTGTGGGAACCCGTCCTACAATATTGCACCAGAAACAGGCAGTAGGTTTGCACAGAGACACCCTTGACCGTGGATACAATGGGCATAATAAACACTCCCAAGCCCTCTTATAAAAAGGTCTAAGAGAGCACACCGTTTGGTTGTTGACTAAAAATAAAATAAACATCAAAACTTATTTTAATCAGAACCACAAGACAAGAAGACTGACTTTAGAGCAATCAGAATTACTTGTATGACCACCTTAAACCAACCAGTTTGGTAACAACTCTAGCAAAACACTGTATTTGGAAATTTGTCTGCTAAAGTGAAATTGCTTCAAAAGTTGCTCGGTGTGAGGCCAGTAGTGGCCTTATTTATTTTATTTGACCAGTTTTAAATACATATTTTAAATATAAAAAAACAAAACAAAAAGTTCACTTTTAATAGATTTTAAAAGATTTATTTATTATGTATATCCTAAGAAATATTAGATAAATAATATTTTAATGATTCATTTTTTTGTCCTGTAAAACAGTCCAGCATTGCTCGTTTAGTGTGTTCACTCAAGTCAAATTGCAAAGACAGTTTTTTGCACTTTTTAAAGTCCCACACGCCAGAATTTGGAACAAGAGAAATTTGGCATTTGGTCTTGCAACAATGATGAAACTAACTTTATAATTTATAATTATACATATATTTTATAATAAACTTATAAAATGATGGTAACATTTCAAGACATTGAATAATAGATTTAACTAAACAATTGCTTAGTTAAATCGATTTTGTGTTTAAAGGTATTCACAATGATTTTTCCTTCATCAAGTGAGAACTCATACAACACTATTTTAAGCAGACTCGGTCTTGAATTACATTGCACACCTAGTACAGCCGTGTCCGCCGTGGCTGTAATTATTTTAGATATTAATCATATTACTGTACTCATAAACCAACATTACCCTCTCCTAAAGTCTCTGTGCTCTCCCTCCCAACAGGCCTCTGTGGATGGTGGTTCTATCTGATGATGGTTCTATCTGATGGTGGTTGCCCCTGCAGTGGTCCTGGTGTGCGCCTGGCTTACTACTCACAATTACTTGAATCATTTCTGTCATAGGAATTGAATGTATTATACATTGTTCATTCTGTGCACATGGCATCCATTGTAGTCTGTCCATCCCAGGAGAGGGATCCCTCCTCTGACGTTCTCCCTAAGGTTTCTTCCCTTTTTTTCCCTCTTGGAAGGGTTTTTTTCATTTTTTGGGGAGTTTTTCCTGTGCCGATGGTGGGTTTCGGGACAGAGGATGTCGTATGTGTACAGACTGTAAAGCCCTCTGAGGCAAATTTGCGATTTTGGGCTATACAAAATAAAATAAAATGAATTGAATTGAATTAAAGATCTTGTTACATTTTGGCGTGACGTCTAATAAATGGACCAAAACATTGTTCGGACACACTCACATATATGGTTCCAAGTTGTGATCTGTCCGAGTCAAATAATTGATAGTAGTGCTGCACAAAGCTGGATCCTATCTGCTCCCACAGAGGCTGGTCCACCATCCTGAATCACCCTGCAACGCACACTGGGAACATGGAGCGACACAACAGGGGTGTAAGGGTGTTATATTCTATAAACCATTTACAAACACAATGCAATGTAAATACATGATAGGCTTCAAGGTAAAGAGTACTTGTATAACATTGTAGCAATACTCTCAAACATTATGTTTACCCTCATGCTGTACTAAACTAGAAAACTGTTTAGCTAACCTTTGTTGATCACACATACGTACTAAGCTGACTTAAATCTACTTCGTTTAAATAAAAACGTACTACTTCCTTGAGAAGGTCAACAAAAAACGATAACAAGTTTGAACAAATAAACACTGTACTATTCAAAGAGCACAAAAACGTGCGAGTACAACCACAATATAAAAAACAAGCATTAGAACTACTTTCCTCAGCAGTTTTACTGAACACACCGCAATGCTGCTGTGAAAGCTTAACGTTGGGTGACAGTGACAGAACGAGTCATGTGCTCCAACACATCTAACGTTGTGCACCGTTATCGAGGGGACGATCAGACAACTCTCAAGATTAATTTACAATCGCATCTTATGAAAGATCCAAATAGCAACACGGTCCGCTCAACATAAGAAGAGAAGCTTGCTACGGAACGTTATCAAACGGGAAATATCCGTTAGCCGTTTGGCTAGTTAACGTAAGCTAACTAGCCTGCTGCTGCTAGCATGTGAGCTGTCTTGTTTGCTAACGTTAGCCTGTGTTGGCAAAGGCAGAATATATAAACTTAACATGCCCCCCCGCCTGCTGATATTGGACGGGGGATACAGTTTATTCCCAAGAGTTAGCTCGCTGGCTGTCTGACGTTCGCCATTTCCCTGGTTGCTAAAAATACCCCGTCTCCACCAAACGCTTGCCCTAAACCTGTTGGGAACAGCCGACTAATACCTTATACTCGTTCAAATGTCAAACTTAACTATCACTTTTTCTTTTTCGAAAATGTTTCAAGTAAGGGTTCCTCAAGACGGCTTCTTAAAAAAGAATTAAAATAAATTTACCTCTAACCAACACCGAGGCCTTCTTCACGATGTGAAGTGAAGTGTCCGCTTCTCTTTGCAGTCAGGGTCACGCGTTCAAAAGCCGGACTCGTCCCGGTGGCTTGTGGGGATTGTAGTCTATTACATTTTGGAAATTTCTAGGCCTTACTAATTAAGATATTTGAATTGGGTGTATCGATAATAAGATTACACGGTAATGGTGTGTTTTTTTAAAGGTGTGAGGCAAAACAGAACAGTTGTCTTTATTTGATTATCTTACCTATGTCTTATTGCATACATTTGCTTTTCGTGATATGATTATATAAAAATTAGCAAGATATTCTAATAGTGATGTCACACTATTGTGATATGAAATGTGATCGTGAAAATCACTATTCAGCCACTCAGTAACATCATAACAAAATGTGTTATGATGAATTTCTCCTCAAACAGGGCAGTCCTGGAAGAGAAACAAAGGCAGTTATAATTTTAGTTTATTTTGCTCTTTGTTTTCTTTAAATATTTATATTTATTATACTACACAGAAATTGCACATTCTTAGATCCACATTGTTAACCTTCACATAGCACACTAAGAGACCATTGCATTAAATTAACTTAAAACTATGTATTGGACGGGTTGAGGGGGCCGTGTGGTCCATAAGGCTATGTTAAATTGGGCTCTATACTTCTACTTCAATACTTTCCCAAAAGAGGCATTTTAATTAATTTAATGTATATCACATGAATCAAGTAGACACTGTTAAGATTTCACAATATTTCAAGGGGGACACTTCACTGCAGTACTCTTTACTTTTGCCGTGTTATGCTGGCAATGACGAATCAGATCCAAAAGTACTGGACGGGTTGGCCAGTCTGATGCAGGTAAGTGTGGCTGATCAGACGTACAAAATCTCTCAAAACTCCACATTGACAGAGCCATGTAAATACAGCTTTAACCTCTACAAACCATAGAAATTGAATAGTTGCAGAACACACATTGACCCCGTCCCGCTGTCCTTCATGATGTCTTTCACCCCGAACACTCAGGGACTTCAAAGACATCACATATTGAGTCTGCAAAAATATAAGGAAAGTGGTCATAAATTACTCAAAATATCCGAGAGAGGCCTCAAAGACCCAATCATTTTACAATTGGACAGCCCTAAACCTTTGTAGACTTTGCAGAAACGTCCCTCAAAGTCTGTGAGCCAATAAGTGTGATGAATTGATTTGGTTCCTCCTCATTCAATTTAACGTAGCAAGATGGTCAGATAAGCGGCCATTTTTATGTGTATCGTTGCTGTTGCGACCAAGATAACTTCCATATAAACTAAACCTATTAATGGCAACGTCGCAGACTCACCAAGGTGACGTTTCGCAGTAACTATTAAATGGACTTGTGTAGTAACGTTAGGAAGCTACAAAATAAATAAATCTAATTTAACAACCAGGGCTGTAGTGGAGGGTAAACGCACATAAACGCCGTTTACGCACCTCTCGAATTTTGGAAATAGCGTTATGCACCTATTAAGAGCGTTTACGCACCTCTAAGTGGCATTTACGCACCTCAAAGTTCCCTGCGCCTTGTATTCTTCCATTGGAATAATCCGAAATAAACTTGGTGTAATTTTAAAACAGCTAAGACTACGTTTCCTATTGTTAAACATATAAACGCCGTACTCTGAATCATTTTCATCTGCGCTGTATTACGGTCTGTGACCATCCAATCAGTGCCTTGCGGCTGCAGCAGCGACACCAATCAGGATCCAGGAGGTGTGTAAACACATACGTTGTGGATTAGCCCAGTGGTCCCCAACCTTTTTTACCTCACGGACCGGTTTCATGTCAGACAATATTTCGCAGACCAGTCGAGAAGGTCCGACGGGGGGGTAGTAGTCGTTGCGGGCGGAACGACCAACTGGGGGGGGGGGGGGGGGTAGTAGTCGCGCACTCTGTGTTCGCCGGTCGTGCACGGTAAAAGGACAAGAAAAACGCCTGGTGACGCGTAGATTAGAAAACAAGTCAGTTCTCAATATGAAAAAAACATGCTGTATAGGCTATTTACATGAGTGTTCCTTTAACTTATGTTATCAGTGTAATTGACAGGCTGCTTAACTGGTTAACTCTTAAATTCAACATATTTTTTCAGGCAGTGATAGGCAATGATGCAGAGAGCACAGGGAGAGGAGAAACACCAGGTAGAATAGAGAGAGGAGAAGCACAGAGTGGCTCCTCTGTGCAAGGCAGGACCTGACGTGGAGGACAAGGAGGCCCTCTGGGCACTACTGTAAAAAGGAGACTCCGTATGTAGATAGTTCTTAATCTGCAATTGTGTTGTTGTGTTGTGTTGACATACTTTTCTTTACTGTTTTCTTAAATGTAATAAACTACAAACTACTAACACATTTATTCATTGTCATTGATTGTATATGACTTTTACTGATAACATAATGCAATATAGCCAGGACAGCCTTACAGAGTTGCAACGCTTTGTGTTGCGTTGCTTCGCATCGCGTCGAGGTCTGTATGATCACAAAATTCAGAGTTTACCCACCTCTAATTTTACCACTACAGCACTGGTAACAACGTCATGGTTCAACCACACACACTCGTCGCAGCATAGGGCAGCACATTTCTATTGCTGGATGACTGATAACCTACAAGCTGGATAGTTCCACCATGCTTTAATGTTACATGGTCACAGAAAACTGGCACTGGGCCGGTGGCTGTGTGGTGGCGTTGCATCCAACAGTCCGTCCACCATACTCCCCACCGCTAACTAGCCGGCTATCCTGGCAAGCAGCTTTACTGACACATCATCACCATAACGAAGTTAAATGATCACAGGAAAAAAGTGTTCGATGCCCATTCTAAGGTTCAAAAAGACCAAATTAAAAAACGGAATAGGGAAAGAGTTACCTGGCTCGGAGGAAGCCCGGGGCCCCCATTTGGAGCCAGGCCCAGATGGAGGGCCCGACAGCGAGCGTCTGGTGGCCGGGTTTACCGTGGAGCCCGGCCGGGCACAGCCCGAAGGAGTGACGCGGCAGCCCAAGACTCTACTTCCCATGGGCTTACCACCTGTGGAGGAAACCGATGGGGTCGGGTGCGCTGCTACAAGGGTGGCAGTGACAGTGGGGGGTCTAGACGGAACAGACCTGGGCGGCAGATGCTGGCTCTGGGGACGTGGAACGTAACCTCTCTGGGGGGGAAGGAGCCGGAGCTTGTGCGGGAGGTGGAGCATTATCATTTGGTTCTGGTGGGGCTTACCTCTACGCACAGCCTCGGCTCTGGAACCACACTCCTGGATAGGGGATGGACTCTATTCTACTCCAGAGTGGCCCATGGTGTGAGGCGCCAGGCGGGTGTGGGGGTACTCATAAGTCCCCGGCTGAGTGCTGCTACATGGGAGTTTACCCCGGTGGACAAAAGAGTCACCTTCCTACGCCTTCGGGTGGTGGCGGGGAAAACTCTGACTGTTGTCTGTGCATATGCACCAAACAGCAGCTCAGAGTATTCAGCCTTTTTGGAGACCCTGGATGGAGTCCTGCATGGGGCTCCAGTAGGGGACTCCATAGTCCTACTGGGAGACTTCAATGAGCACGTGGGTGACGAGGGAGATGGAGAGGCGTGATTGGGAGGAATGGCCTCTCTGATCTGAACCCGAGCGGGTGTTTGTTACTGGACTTCTGTGCCAGTCACGGATTGTCCATAACAAACACCATGTTCGAACATAAGGATGTTCATAAGTGTACATGGTACCAGAGCACCCTAGGCCAAAGATCTATGATCGATCTTGTAATCGTAGCGTCTGATCTGAGGCCCCATGTTCTGGACACTCGGGTAAAGAGGGGCAGAGCTGTCAACTGATCACCATCTGGGTGTGAGCTGGGTCAGAGGATGGGGGAAGACTCGGGACAGACCCGGTAAACCCAAGCGTGTAGTGAGGGTGAACTGGGAACGTCTGGAGGAGGCCCCGGTCCAAAAGATTTTCAACTCACACCTCCGGCGGAGCTTCTCTCACATTCCTGTGGAGGTAGGGGAAATTGAACCAGAGTGGTGTATGTTCAAAACCTCCATTGCTGAAGTAAGGCAGTAAGTTGTGGCCTCAAGGTCTTAGGTGCATCAAGGGGCGGTAACCCTCGAACCCCGTGGTGGACACCGGTGGTCAGGGAAGCCGTCCGACTGAAGAAGGACGCCTTCCGGGTTATGATATCCGGTGGGACTCCGGAGGCAGTTGCAATGTACCGACAGGCTCGAAGGACAGCAGCCTCTGCCGTGATGGAGGCAAAGCAGCGAGTGTGGGAGGAGTTTGGGGTAACTATGGAGAAGGACTTTCGGTCGGCACCAAAGTGCTTCTGGAAGACCATTCGGCACCTCAGGAGGGGGAAACGGGGAACCATCCAAGCTGTGTACAGTAAGGATGGGACCCTGTTGACGGCGAGTGGGGAGGTTATCGGGGGGTGGAAGGAACACTTTGAGGAACTCCTGAATCCAACTACTACGCCCTCTTTGGTAGATGCGGAGCTGGAGGCGGAGGAGGGATCATCGTCAATTGGCCTGGTGGAGGTCACTGAGGTAGTCAAACAACTCCGCAGTGGCAAAGCCCCGGGGATTGATGAGATCCGTCCAGAGATGCTAAAAGCAATGGGTGTTGGGGGGTCTTGGATGACACGCCTCTTCAACATTGCGTGGAAGTCTGGGACAGTGCCAAAAGAGTGGCAGACCGGGGTGGTGGTACCTCTCTTCAAAAAGTCTACTCTAAGGTGCTGGAAAGGAGGGTTCGGCCGATAGTCGAACCAAGGATTGAAGAGGAACAAGGCGGTTTTCGTCTTGGTCGTGGAACAACGGACCAGCTCTTCACTCTTTCCAGGATCATAGAGGGGGCTTGGGAGTATGCTCATCCAGTCTACATGTGTTTTGTGGACTTGGAGAAGGCGTATGACCGGGTCCCCCGAGAGAAACTGTGGGAGGTGCTGCGGGAGTACGGGGTGAGGGGGTCCTTGCTTGGGGCCATCCAATCCTTGTACGCCCAAAGCGAGAGCTGTGTTCGGGTGCTCGGCAGTAAGTCGAAGGCGTTTCCGGTGGGGGTTGGCCTTCGCCAGGGCTGCGCCTTGTCAGACCATGTTTGTGAGACCATGTCTCG